GTTTCACAGATCGCAGGCCCCCAGGGATGGCGAGGTCTAATTTGAATCCGCCGTGGGTACCCGCTGTGCTGGGCCCCCCAGCAGCCCTCGAAAGTGGCGACAGTTTCACAGATCGCAGCCCCCCAGGGATGGCGAGGTCTAATTTGGGTCCGCCCGTGGCGTCACTGTGCTGGGCCCCCCAGCAGGCCTCGAAAGTGGCGACAGTTTCACAGATCGCAGCCCCCCAGGGATGGCGAGGTCTATTTTGGGTCCGCGCGTGGCGTCACTGTGCTGGGCCCCCCAGCAGGCCTCGAAAGTGGCGACAGTTTCACAGATCGCAGTCCCCCAGGGATGGCGAGGTCTAATTTGGGTCCGCCCGTCGCCCTCACTGTGCTGGGCCCCCCCAGCAGGCCTCGAAAGTGGCGACAGTTTCACAGATCGCAGCCCCCCAGGGATGGCGAGGTCTAATTTGGGTCCGCCCGTGGCCCTCACTGTGCTGGGCCCCCCAGCAGGCCTCGAAAATGGCGACAGTTTCGCAGATCGCAGCCCCCCGCGGGACAAGACAGCCGCCCGGGGAGAGGAAAAGTGCCCGGCCCCTTTAAGGGAGAACGGGACTGCGACCACACTGCTTATTCAATTTACCCTGGAGACGTTACCCAACCCCTGCGCAAAAGCGGGGCGCAAATAGTGTAGGATACTTTATAAGGGGGCGATGACGGAGCGAGGGTTACATATGTCTGCAGACGGAATTCGGGAGACTCGCAGGACACTGGCTACAGGAAAAGGGCTTGATAAAGCTGATGATTTACAATTCCTGAGCACTCCTAGCCACTTCGAAACCGGGGATCACAGCAGGCCTCGAAAGTGGCGACAGGTTCACAGATCGCAGCCCCGCAGGGACGGCGAGGTCTCATTTGAATCTGCCCGTGGCCCCCACTGTGCTGGGCCCCCCAGCAGGCCTCGAAAATGGCGGCAGTTTCGCAGATCGCAGCCCCCCAGGGATGGCGAGGTCTAATTTGAATCCGCGCGTGGCCCTCACTGTGCTGGGCCCCCAAGCAGGCCTCGAAAATGGCGACAGTTTCGCAGATCGCAGCCCCCCAGGGATGGCGAGGTCTAATTTGAATCCGCGCGTGGCCCTCACTGTGCTGGGCCCCCCAGCACGGCTCGAAAATGGCGACAGTTTCGCAGATCGCAGCCCCCCAGGGATGGCGAGGTCTAGTTTGAATCCGCGCGTGGCCCTCACTGCGCTGGGCCCCCCAGCAGGCCGGCCTCGAAAATGGCGACAGTTTCGCAGATCGCAGCCCCCCAGGGATGGCGAGGTCTAATTTAAATCCGCGCGTGGCCCTCACTGTGCTGGGCCCCCCAGCAGGCCGGCCTCGAAAATGGCGACAGTTTCGCAGATCGCAGCCCCCCAGGGATGGCGAGGTCTAATTTGGGTCCGCCCGTGGCCCTCACTGAGCTGGGCCCCCCAGCAGGCTTCGAAAGTGGCGAAAGTTTCACAGATCGCAGCCCCCCAGAGCGACGGCGAGGTCTAATTTGAATCGCGCGTGGGCACCCTCCGGCTTTAGCAGCATGGGCCCCAGCAGGCCTCGAAAAGTGGCGACAGTTTCGCAGTCGCAGCCCACCCCAGGATGGCGAGGTCTAATTTGAATCCGCGCTGTGGCCCTCACTGACGCTGGGCACCCCCAGCAGGCCTCGAAGAATGGGCGACACGTTTTCCGCGAGATCGCAGCCCCCCAGGGATGGCGAGGTCTAATTTGAATCCGCGCGTGGCCCTCACTGTGCGGGGCCCCCCAGCAGGCCTCGAAAATGGCGACAGTTTCGCAGATCGCAGCCCCCCAGGGATGGCGAGGTCTAATTTGAATCCGCGCGTGGCCCTCACTGTGTTGGGCACCCCAGCAGGCCTCGAAAATGGCGACAGTTTCGCAGATCGCAGCCCCCCAGGGATGGCGAGGTCTAATTTGAATCCGCCCGTGGCCCTCACTGTTCTGGCCCCCCAGCAGGGCTCGAAAATGGCGACAGTTTCACAGATCGCAGCCCCCCAGGGATGGCGAGGTCTAATTTGGATCCGCCCGTGGCCCTCACTGCGCTGGGCCCCCCAGCAGGCCTCGAAAATTGCGACAGTTTCACAGATCGCAGCCCCCTGCGCAAGGCGCGCAAGGAAGGAAGAGGCGGGAGGGCAAAAGGAGGAAGGGCGGTGAGAAGGGACGCGACCACACTGCTCTATTCAAAACGAATACCCAACCAAGGAGGGTTGGGAATAATTACCCTGGCGACGTACCCAACCCCTGCGCAAAAGCGGGGCGCAAATAGTTTAGGATACTTTATAAGGGGGCGATGACGGAGCGAGGGTTACATATGTCTGCAGACGGAATTCGGGAGACTCGCAGGACACTGGCTACAGGAAAAGGGCTTGATAAAGCCCTTGAAAAAAGGCTGGATGATTTACAATTCCTGAGCACTCCTAGCCACTTCGAAAACGGGGATCACAGCAGGCCTCGAAAATGGCGGCAGTTTCGCAGATCGCAGCCCCCCAGGGATGGCGAGGTCTAATTTGAATCCGCGCGTGGCCCTCACTGTGCTGGGCCCCCCGGCAGGCCTCGAAAATGGCGGCAGTTTCGCAGATCGCAGCCCCCCAAGGATGGCGAGGTCTAATTTGAATCCGCGCGTGGCCCTCACTGTGCTGGGCCCCCCAGCAGGCATCGAAAGTGGCGACAGTTTCACAGATCGCAGCCCCCCAAGGGATGGCGAGGTCTAATTTGAATCTGCGCGTCGCCTCACTGTGCTGGGCCCCCCAGCAGGCCTCGAAAGTGGCGACAGTTTCACAGATCGCAGCCCCCCAGGGATGGCGAGGTTGAATTTCGGTCCGCCCGTCGCCCTCACTGTGCAGGGCCCCCCAGCAGGCCTCGAAAATGGCGACAGTTTCACAGATCGAAGCCCCCCAGGGATGGCGAGGTCTAATTTGAATCCGCGCGTGGCCCTCACTGTGCTTGGCCCCCCCCCCAGCAGGCCTCGAAAATGGCGACAGTTTCACAGATCGCAGCCCCCCTGGGATGGCGAGGTCTAATTTGGGTCCGCCCCTGGCCCTCACTGTGCTAGGCCCCCCAACAGGCTTCGAAAGTGGCGACAGTTTCGCAGATCGCAGCCCCCCAGGGATGGCGAGGTCTAATTTGAATCCGCGCGTGGCCCTCACTGTGCTAGGGCAAAGCCCAGCAAAGCCTCGCAAAGCCCAGCAGTTTCACGGATCGCACGCCCCCATGGGGGCATGGCGAGGGTCTAATTTGAATCTGCGCGTGGCCCTCACTGTGCTGGGCCCCCCAGCAGGCCTCGAAAATGGCGACAGTTTCGCAGATCGCAGCCCCCCAGGGATGGCGAGGTCCCATTTGAATCCGCCGTGGGTACCCACTGTGCTGGGCCCCCCAGCAGCCCTCGAAAGTGGCGACAGTTTCACAGATCGCAGCCCCCCAGGGATGGCGAGGTCTAATTTGAAACCGCCGCGATTACCCTCTATGCAGGACCCCCCAGCAGGCCTCGAAAGTGGCGACAGTTTCACAGATCGCAGCCCCCCAGGGATGGCGAGGTCTAATTTGGATCCGCCCGTGGCCCTCACTGTGCTGGGCCCCCCAGCAGGCCTCGAAAAATGCGACAGTTTCACAGATCGCAGCCCCCCGCGGGCAAGACAGGAAGAGGCGGGAGGGGAAAAGGAGGAAGGGCGGGAGAAGGGACGCGACCACACTGCTCTATTCAAAACGAATACCCAACCAAGGAGGGTTGGGAAAAAGAGAGAGAGAGAGAGAGAGAGAACACGTACTCTTTCCTTGTATTGGGGCTCGCGTGCGCCCGCTGCCAACGCGCCACACACCTCAAGGGCCCTGCGATCCGAAACGGTCGCGGGGAGGGGAGGTGAAAGAGAGAGAGAGAGAGAAGCGCAGGAGGCAGGAATAGTGAAATAGACGTAACAACCACAAACATCGCTCTCAACGGTTCCCGGAAGAAGCAGACGCGAGCTTCAAGCTGGGTTCGTTCACTGAACCCACAACTGACCCCCCCCCTGCAAAAGCCCCGAAGAAGGCGGCTAGCTGAGCCCATGGCCCGTGGTAGCGCCGGTTGGTCTGGGTGCCGTCCTCACCTTGGCTGCGATCAGCTCAGAATGGCCCGTCCGAAGCCAGTCTTCTACTGCAGTGGCTGCCCCCTCCTCTACAGGCCTCGCACATGAGGTCGGAACAGATGGGGTCGGAGGATAGCAGCGCATCGCCGATGCAAAAACAGGCTCCACATCGAGCCGCATCGCCGATGCATCGGCGATGCGGCGCGATCCTCCGACCCCATCTACTCGGGCCCCATCTGGGAGGCCTGAAGATCAGCTCAGGTCCCGCGTCCGACGCCATTCTTCTGCTGCAGTTGCTGCCCCCTCCTCGCACCCTGCTCCTAGTCTGCGCCGCCCGCGCGTGCGCGCGAGCGCATGGCCGGCGCGAGGGTTGATCGCGCCGCGGGCATCCCCCACAGAGATCGTTTGTATCTGTCTGAATTGGCCCGGATTATCCGATAGGGGGGAAGGGGGGAGGTGCCGGCCGATGACCTAACCTTTTGGCTCTGGGTAGCCCCACGTGTACCTGCGCGCACCAGTACTGCGCACCCCCTTCGGACTTGCGCAACCGACAAGGTCAAGTTATCTGGGGGGATGGCGGGGGAGGGCCCGACCTACCAGCTTTCTCGGCCCGATATGTCTCCAACTTGCGGACGACATCGGCCGACGGAAGCGCATGAGTAGCACAAGCCGATCGCAGGCACGCGGCCAGTGTGTCGGAAGCGACGATGAAGGCGAATAGTCCAGGGGCGGGCATTACACGTATCCCTCTGGGAGCCTCGCTGGAGACATGGACCAGGCGCCCCTGCAGACTCGCTCCTACAGTCGCCTCCAAGTGGCATCGAGGGGCCAAGATCAGAGCATCGGCGCCTCTGCGAGGAGGGGGAAGGAGTGGGACGCGGACGATCATCCTGTGAGAGCGCCGCTTGCTGGACTAGTTCCACATGGCTGGGTGGATCCTGGGGTTGGACCGCTGTTCGCAGCGTGTCCTGGACGCGAGGCAGAACGTGCACGAAGGGAGAAGGGTGAACAGGGGAGGGGGAGGAGGAGGAGGAGGAGGAGGAGGAGGAGGAGGAGGAGATTGAGGGGGGAGAGACCTGGACAGGTGGTGACTTCTCTGGCTCCTAAGGGGCAAGGCTGATTGAGGACCTCCTCTTCACGGGATCCGCTGGCCTCTCCGCTCTAAGACCCCCCAAGAGGGTCCCTGGAGGCTTCCAAAAAGCCTCCCCCGAGAGGGTCCCAAAAGAGCTCCAAGATAACCCCCAGAGGGTCCCAGATAACTCCAAGTTAGCCATTGTTGGGCGCTGGTCGGGTTGATCCCAGCGTTGGTTTGACTGGCGCCCCCCCTTTGTTCACGTATGCTCCTCCACTCCCCTTCTGAAGACAAGTCGCCAACATATTGTTATTGGATGGACTGGTGGAGATACACGAAGCGTCAAGAGACAAAATGGTCCTGACCCTTGGGTCTACGGCGTGTGAGATGGTTGCCCCTCCCCAAACTGAGGGGAAACGCAAGGGAGGGACCAGCCCAGGATATTCATATTGGCTTGGAATCGGCGACGCATCGCCGATGGATCGGCGATAGTCCCCCGATAGCGAATCCGCATGTTCCTGGGTGGGATGTCTGCCCCCCTCATCTGCGCCCCCACCCCCCTGTGCCCCATCTGCATCCCGCCAGGGGGGCCCAGCGGCGGCGGCTAGGACGACGACGATGAGACGGCGAGCACGACATCAGCGACGACGAGGGCGACGAGGACGACGTCAGCGACGACGAAGACGACGGCGACGAAGACGACGAAGACGACGACGACGACGACGACGCCGGAGACCAGAAGCCCGCTGGTTCGCTTGCTCTTCTCGGGTGCTCCTCACAGGGGGGGCCTCTGCGGGCCACTTCCCTGCAGTCCTCGATCCCCCCACATTCGTTGCCCCCCCGTCCCAAACCCCCGACGTCATGAATTGTTGGTGACGTGGATTCCCTGAGGTCTGGATCCAATCCACAGGACTGGCGTTTCACCCTGAGCCGTCCTTCTGACGGTCCTGGAGCCTTGCTAGGGCCCCCCGAGGCCCTGAAATCGCAAACAACAGAAGAACGCCCGTCGTGAGTTTTGTTCACGACGCGACGGGGTCTGGGGTTGCCCTCCGCCCGACTGTCTCCCCCCGCCCCGCTCTGGCGTTGCATCATGGATGGGCGATACGTGGGCGGGAAGAGAAACATGCACCTTTTGTGCCCCTCCAAGGCCCCTTCGGGGTACAAAAACTTGCCCCCCCCCCCCAGGTACCGACCCCCGATACGCAACGCCCGACCCGCGCGGGAGCAGGCCGCCCCAGCTCGGGCCCGCGCCCACGACGCTGGTGCGCTCCAGCGTGGTCCACGACCGGGCGGCCTCCGGGCGCCGCAGCGCGCCCGAACGGCCATCCTCCGCCTCTCTCCCAGAGCGCGTTTCTAGATCCGCCACCGCACTTGCAGCGGTTTGTGCGCGTCGGGCCCTTACGCCTGTTGGAAGCCATCAGTTCAATGCCCCCCGCCGCACCAAACTCAAGATACGTTCATTGTTATAGCTATGTCCCTTGAGTTGATTTTGGAATTCCGGGTTCGATATAGCCCCACATACAAACCCTTGGGCACCCCTCCCCCCCTACCCAAGGCGCCCCCCCCCAGCCGCCCGAGCGCGTTTGCGGAATCGCGCGGCAACGCAACCGGATAGATTCTCGCGAGTTTGCCTGCATGGCATCTCCGCCCCCCCCTTCTGTCTAAGCCCTCGAGCTTAACGTTGCCCCAGAAAGCCTCGAGCCGAAAGTTGCCCCTGAACCTATCCCCCTCCCGAGAGCGCGTTTCTGTTCAGATTCGGGAACACTTACTTGCATAGCAGTTCCCGACCCTCTCCGCCGCCGTTGCAAACAGGGCTGGCCCGAAAGGCGTGCACATGAGTCCCGACTTGCGTGGAGTCCAGACTTCCTGTCTCGGGTCTCGCCGCGCCCCGCCCACCCCCCCCTCGCTGCAAGTAGTCCACCTACCCAGACAAACTCGAAGGTCTCCGACGATATGGTTTGTTCAATCCTGGCGGCTTCTTTCGATTTCGGCCTCGGGGTCCGCTTTCGGACCCCGGGATCAAAAGTGGATCCAGGACGTAAGAATGCCCCGCGTGGAAGGGATCGGGAGCTCTGGAGCCGCGGTTTGACAAACAACAAAAAAGCTGAAAGCGTCTGCGATTGTACTATGTGCCCGTCGCTTCCGCAAGGGCGATGTGCACACCGCGCACTGAAACATATTGTAATGTAAGCAACGTGGCGGACGCTTTCTGGCCAAACCACATGGGCGACAATACAGTACAAGATGTGTGTGCTATATGTTCGGATCGGACGTGCGCCTGCAAGACGGGCGCATGTCCGTGTTCGACTAGCCAAGAACCACGGGGTGATTCCCTCGTGAGGTTGCGATCACAACTTGTTAACTACTCCAGGAGGTGGCAGTATGCCTATCTGCGCCCCATCTTGAGAAGACAAGAGGGTTACCCCCATATCAAGCACCCCTGAGGCGAGAACCTTCAGCAAACACAGGTCAGGAAGGATGGAGCAGTGCAAGGCTGCCTGGTAAACGCCCAGGACTGCTCAGCAACGGTTGGTCATGGGGGCCCGGCTGGTTTTTCCTCACTCGATCTCTCCATACCCTCCCTTCACCTCTCGCTCACTCTCGCATTTCCTCCCTCCCTTCCTGTCCTTTCCGTCGCCCCCATCCTTCTGTTTCGCGCGAGGTGCGCATTCCCGCCGATCCCCTTTCGCTCTGGTTTTGGCCCCCTCTTCGCTGCGCTCGGACTTGGCTGGTCGCTGCGGGTGACTCGAACAACGATGCGTAGGGCAATGTGTGAGACGGGTGGGTGTGCCGTCTCGAATGGGAGCAGCGGGTGCTGCTCGAAGCTGAACAGCGCTCAACTTTTGCGGTGTATCCGAGAGGCCGCAAGCCCGTGGACTGCGCACCCTGGACATCCTTCTTCGGTAATCGCAATCGCGGCCGCAATAATCGTGCCAACAAAATAGGCCGATCTGCCCATGAGCGGGCACGCGCCAGCACCGCTCATGGCACCGCGCCCGCCCGAGTCACCGACCCGGAGTGAAGTGCCCGCGCGCCAGCGCGGTCGTTGAAACACGCTGAGAAGCCCCCTCGGAAATTGGCATCGCGGCCGCATATGTTGTGTCAAACCAGCTGGCCGGTTTGCGCGCGAGTGGGCGCGCCCCAGTGCAGCCAGAACGACGTGCCAGCAAATTCAATGGGCAGCCGCAATCGCAGCTGAACGGGTTATGAGAAACAAGTTGCTGGCGGGAGGGCGGAATGATTAAGCGAGCATTGGATTGGCAACTGAAGCTTCTACATCAGTCACTGCATCACACGGCTCACAGCTTGCACCACATAGTTTGCAATACGTAAATCCCACTATCCCTCTGGGCGCAGATGGTCTAACGATGTATTTCTTCCTTCTTCCCAAAGCCAATCTTCCCCTTTCGGGCAGGGGTTTACCCCTCCCCCTACCCCATCCCTTGGACCTGGACGGGAGGGGCCGCGATCGGTTAAAGCGTCCAACATGGCCCAAGATGGCTCCAAGAGGGCCTCAAAGAGCTCAATGTGGCCTCCAAGATCGTCAAGATAGCCCAACATGGCTCAAGATAGCTAACAACATGCCTCCGAGAGGCCCCAAGGTGACCACAAGACGGTTCCAGGTGCTCTCGGAAACCTATCCGGACCCCTCCAAGAGCCCCAAATCCTTCCAAACACCGATGGAACATTGATGATGTTTGCCTTCTTGCCGCTTCGCTTCCGACGCGCCTCTGAGGCCTCAAGATGACCCCAGGATGGCCCAAAAAGGCTCCAAGAGGGGGCCAAGAGGCCTCCAAGACGGCGCCAAGAGCGCCCAAGAACGCCCCAAGAGCGCCCCAAAGGGGGCTCCAAGAGAGAGCTTCGAGGGCACCAGGAGGGGGGACCTCGATCGGGACCCCCCTGCCTTTTCATCGATAGCCTCGAAGATGGCCCCAAAAAGGCGCCCCAGGGCTCGCAAGAGAGCCCCAAAAGAGCCCCAAAGAGGGCTCCAAGAGGGGAGGGTCCCAAGAGGTCCCCAAAACGGCCCCAAGAGGGCCCAAAGACACCCAAAAAAAGCGCGAAGATGGTTTCAAGATGCGATGTTGAGGGCTCCTGAAGGGGGGCGACATCGAGAACCCCGAGGGGAGGGCCAACATAAATGAACCCCCTCCTCTGACCGATAACCTCCCAAGATGGCCCCAAGAGACCCTTCAGGGCTCCCAAAAGGCTCCCAAGAGAGCCCAAAGAGCGCCCCAAAAAGCTGACCTCCAAGATGGCTCGGATAGCCCAAGCTGGCTCAAGATGGCTCCCAAGATGCTCCAAACGGCCCCAAAACCGCTCCAAGAGCGTCCAAGAGAGCCCCAAGAAGCAGTTCGCGGGCTCCTGAGGGGGGAGCTGACTTGGGGACCCCCTATCCTGTAATCGATGACCTCCAAAATGAATATGATCCCAATAATCCTTCCAAGGTTACCAAGAGGGTTCCAAGAAGGCCCCCCAAATTCCCAGAGAGCAGCAGCAGCAGCAGCAGCAGCAGCCGCAAGAATACCTGGTTCCATGAGTCCTCGTCCGCGCCGTCCTCATCCTAGTCCTCGTCCTCCTCGTCCTCGTCCTCATCCGCGTCCTCGTCCTCCTCGTCCTCCTCGTCCTCATCCTCCGCCGCCTCCTCTTCCGCTCGCCCCCACGCGGCGCCCAGGGATGGACCGAAGAGGCCTTCCAAGGCCACCCCTTTGCTCGCTTCGTTTCCCTAGATGAGTCTCTTCGTCCCTTTTCCCGTCAGCTCTGAAGGGCAGGGTTTCTGAATGGGCTGGCGGTGACACTTTTTGGTTAGCGGGCGCGCGAAACAAGTCGAACGCCGAGCGTAGCAAAGGGAAAAGCAGTGAGGGTAGCGGCGCGCGAGCCGCAGTGCCGGCGAGGCGAGCGAACCGTAGAGCGTGCCGGGGATGAAGACCACATAGCCGCGGCGAGCACGGGGACCATGAAGCACAGGGAGGAGACGGAAAGGAAGGGGCGTGCAGGGAGAACACCGCGTGCGAGTGGTGGACGCAGCCAAAATGGTGCGAGAAGGCGACCAGGAAGCAGAAGAGGATCACCATGAAGTAGGACACCGGGAAGCGGGCTGACGAACTGGGAAGCGGCCCCAGGAGCAGGGTCCCGTGCCTGCCAGCAGTGCCGCCCAGTAGCCGAGGCATCCCAACAAAGGCTGGCAGGGAATTTTGGTCAACGGCCTCGTGAAGCGGGTCAAAAGGCGTCCAAACTCTAGCCGGGCCACGACTATGCAGCGAGAAGCGAAAAGCAAGACAGGCGTAGCAGCCGGGCGGCAGCTCAGAAGCGCGAAAAGAACAGGTAGACCCATTCCCGGTGGCGGCCGAAGATCCCGGTAACTACCGGCAAGTAGACGCAGCCAAAATGGCGCGGCGGCGCGACCGAAATCACGAAGGGGTCGAACATTGGGAGTGGCTCGGCCGGGAACATCAGAACGAAACCGACTGGCAGGGATACGCGAGGCGTGAAGAATTGCGCCATGTATGTTTGCTGTTTGGGGTCCACGCTGGTTCACATGTGATGCTGACACACTCGTCTTCACCCTACCGTCCTCGCTCTCTTCGTCCGGTGCCACCCTACCGTGGCTGTGGAAAGCACAACGGGAGAGGGAGAGAGAGGGAGGAAGCGGCAGAGAAAGAGGGAGAAACAGAGAGTGATATGGAGGAGACTGAGACAGGAAGGAAGAGAGAGAGGAAGAGAGACGGATAGAGAGAGAAAGCGAGAGGAAGAGAGAGAGAGAGAGACATAATGAACAACACGAATAAGCTAACAAACAAACAAACAAGGAACATAGAGAGAGAGGGATAGAGAGAGAGAGATGGGGGAGAGAGAGAGAGAGAGAGAGAGAGAGAGAGAGCGAGAGAGAGAGAGAGAGACAGTGAGCGAGAGAGAGAGAGAGAGAGACAGACAATGCGGGGGCAGACGCGCCTTGATAGTCATGCAAGCGATGTAACCCTCGAACTCTGGAAAGTCGTGCACGGGCGGCGACGAGGGGTCCAACGCGCACCTCTCGGGCGGCTGGGGCAAGCCGAGCTGGCGAGTACTCCTCTGAAGCCCCCACTTCTAGAGCGAGTCCACCCCGTCCGTTGCCTTTCATTTGGGCCGAGGGCTCTGCACGTTGTTTCATCAGACGCGGGCAACTTACAGCACCGCAGGCTGGAAAATGAAGTGCACGGCAACCTGTTTGAAACGATGGATGCGCGCTGGAAAAAAAATATAAACTGTTTCCAAGACCCAGACCCAGGCGAGCACTACAGACGATACCCATAATACATATACCACATTGCCACAACACCCACATACGTCAATATACAAATATTACACCAACACACGCTTGCATTTTTTTTTGTTTGCGTCGCGGTCCCGCGCGCAGCGACACGGCTTCCAATACACACACATACACATACATACATACACAAACGCACACACACACACACACACACACACACACACACACACTTTTGAGCGGTCGCGGCCTCGCGCGCAGCGACGAGGAGTAGAACGTCGAGCACCGCGCACAGGCCCTGCGGGCGCTGGGCCCTGAGAAGCTGAAAACCCCGCGCCATAGGCCACACAGGCGTGGGTGGCCGGTGTGACAGAAAGACGAAGGACGGCGAATGAGCAACATCGAGGGGGGAGGGTCCCACCGGGCAACAGGTAGGCGACCGGGGACGGCAAGCGCGCACTCGACTAGACAAGAGCGTGTGGGTTGCAGCCGCGAGGAGACTGAGGGAAGCACGAGGCAGTACCCCGTCAGAGAGGCGAGACCCAGGCGGCGCAAGCGCTGTAGTGGAGGGCGCCTGTGGGACCGCGAGAATTCCCGAGCAGGGAGGCACTTCTGGGTAGGGGATTCTTCTGTGCGGTCTCGCGCAGCCGACTGAAGAACCCACACGGGCACCGAGTTGAGGAAACGACTGAGTTGCTGAGTAGAAAAAGGGTGAGGATCAAGGCCAGGCACCACGTCGCCCGTTCCCTGCCCGCTGTTGATGACCCAATCTCGCCAGAAGTCTGCGGCGTAGTCGGCGTCAGGGCCCCTGGGTTCCAGCGGCGCTCCGACCTTGCTGACGAGCGCTTGCCGGACGCCTTCGGAGGAAGACGGAGCAGCATGCACATACGCAGGGAGGGCCAGGGCCTTCTGCTTCGGGGGTGGAGCCTCCCCTCCCGAGGAGACGCTGCCGTCTGCCCTCCACCCGGTTTTGGATGTTGAAGGAGGCCTGGCACCGACCGGTGTGACATGGCGGAAAGCAGCCCGACTGGCCTGGGACTTAAGGGCCGTCGGTGCGGAATTGGCGGGACCGGCAAGGATGGGACGAGAACTCG